ACAGATGTTAAATATGGAAGTTTTCATTTGTCTATGTGTTTCAAAGCTAAACTCGACACGTGAAATCTACAGAGTTCTTTGGGAAATCCCAAAGGACTTTGGCAATACTTTTCACGAGTGATCCTCCGTGGAATCTCAGGATTTTTTCTAACAGTGTAGGCGCACCTGCCTGGTTAATTTCTCGAATCGGACTGAAAGCGTGGTGCGCCCTAGTGGCTACAGCTGGAAGCAGCGCTGCCGCTCATGAAAATGCTTGTTACTATTGCCAGGCACACGCTGGCAAAACACATCGATGTGCCGTGCCCTATTTGCGATAGGGACAATATGTGAAAACAGTTTCTAATTTGATTGTTTCATGAGGTTCGTGTAGATCAAGAGAGTCCTTCACCGTGAGCAAGTTGCTGCTAAGAGGACGTGCTACCAATTTTATACTGGCATTTTTGGAAGACTTAAAACATCATCAGGTAACAACTTTGATTAGAGAAGATAGGTAAATGGTTACTAAATCTTCGACGGGTTTAAAAACGAAGAAGTACATACATTGAGAAACCAAACATTAGTCCAAGCGCTCGAAGACTAGGCCCATTTCAACTGGGCACAATGAAAAACTCATATGTATGTTAGATTGAATTCAAACACTCAAAATCGATAGATTTGTGCGCGAAAAAACGTCGCTTTCGGAAGTGATTTTGCATAATTTGGTGCCGAGTGGTAATATTGAAGCTGATAAAGTAAACTATCTAAAGTTGTCCACTGTTAATCTTTTAGAAACATTATAACAACAACGTATAATGCAAAGAATTATGTGCAACCGTAAAAAACAGGAAATTTCCTTGCATTGCACAAAAGTTTCCTTTATATTACATAGAAACTTTTGCTTTGTATTACACACAGAGAATTCTTCGCAATACAAGAATTGCCGTCGTTAGGGTTTAAAAGCGTACGTGCACTAGGCAAGGCACATTAATGTGATATGGAGTTAGGTGGCCACAGAGGACCGGTTACCGAGGGGTGGATAACTACTGAATTGTGTGTACAAATTTCAAGAATTGAATTTGAATTAGCTTAAATTGGCTTAAATTGAATTTGAATTGGACTGAATTGGTTTGAATTATTGCGATTTTATGTTACTGAATTAGCGTGAATTGGCTTGAATTGACTTGAGTTGACTGAACATTGTCTTGAATTGGACTGAATTAGATTTGAATTTGTTTGAATTAAATTGAATTGGTCTGAATTAGTTTGAATTGGGCAGAATTAGGGGTGTACACTTGGCAGGGGAGTTATTCACCCCTCGGCGACAACGGTTAGGGGTCGCGCATTGGACTTAAAGAAATGTGGTTCTGGCTCCACAAAACCAGGACGCTGTGTTTGAGGCCGCACCAGGAGTGGTTGACGGGGCAGATCGAAGTGAGTCTGCGTGATGTCAGAACCTATAGGCAATACCTTCATTTGGAAAAGAGAAAGCTCTGAGCGGTGTTACTGTCTAGTCACCAGGGGCCTAAGCGTCACAATACACGGCACTCGCGACTAAGAGAAGACGGGTGGGAAAAGTGGATTCTTTAGGACACGCTGTTATAGGAGTCGCTTTGTGCTTCTTGTACCGCACAGACTGCACATAACAACAGAAGCGATCATGGCAAATGTTAAAATTTCTCTGAATACGCCTGCCAGGTAGGCAAAGAACAGACAGGCATGTTGTGCGGTCAGTCAAAATTACATAACTACAGGCGCCAATTCGTCATTTGTCGTCTTTTTCTAGTGATTGGTTTTAATGTTATGTGCAGTCTCTCGGCCACGGGTAGAGCTAAGTGCCTCCTGTTACAGTATAGCATAGGAACTATCAATTTCCCACACGTCGTCCCCCCAGCACGGGTGCCGTGTATTGCGGCGTTTAAGCCCGTGGTCACAAGACAGTAACACTGGGCCCAGTTCAATCTGGTCCAAAGGGTAGCAGTGCCTATGGGTACTCACTGTACGCAGACTCCCTCCCGTCACCCTCGTCAACCAATCGTGGCTCCGCCCTAAACATTGCGGCTCAGTGTTGGGGCACCAGGACGCCATATCTTCAAGACCCGTGCGCGACCCCTTAACCTCATCGCAGATCGCCCAAACTTTGCACGTCATCATTACTACTTTTAGCCTTTCTTTTGAGACTATTACCTC